AAAATCAGAATTGACAAAAATCCAAATTTCAGTTTCTCTCGAAGGATTGGAACATGTGGTAACATTGTGTCCTGATTTCAGCTAGATTTGTCTAGGTGCTGCCCGGCTTTAGAATAGAACAAGGGTCTTTTTTTAGACAGTTCATCTCAGTCAGTCCCCACTCAACTCATTTCCTTAGTTTTCATTACATTCTTGGCCTCTGTCAACAATTGATTTTATAATTCCAGCTCTAAGCCTTTTTTTTTCTCCTTCAGTTCATACTTGACCTCCTAAGCTCCTGAAGATTTCTTATTTTAGGAATGCATTGCCATTTTGAGGCTTATTCCTATTTGTTGATGATAGGTATTGGGATAGGGTGAGGGATATGGAACTCATCAATGTTCACACTGATTTCAGAGAAACATTTAATATCTCTGTATTGACTTTTTTGCCACCAAACACACCATTTTATAAAGGGAAACCCATACTGATTAAAAGAGCTTGCTTTATATGCTGTGGCATATTTTTTGAGGGCAGATTTAATATGCTTTCGTTTTGGTCTGTATGTCGTAACCATTAACTGTATACTAGACTCTTGTTAGGAGCTCGAAATGACAGACACAAATCATTTTTCTCTTCAGTAGTGTCTTTTATACTTTAAAAAAAGTACTGAGTATAGGTTTTGTGCACTGATATTCATAGGCACCAAACAGTTGAAAAGAGCAGGAGAAATTTTCTATTTCCTTGCTTTTCCGCTTAATGTAGAGCAAATATTCATTTATATTGTGTTTTTTAAAATCTTAACATAGGCATGAGCACTTATAAAAGGCTTCCATGCAACATTTGCCCTGAGTGTGTCTTTCCCCTACACACGTAATTATCCTGAGAAGCATCCTTGGGTGCAGTTAGGATTCAGCTCAACAGGATCCACGTTTTAACTCTGTGTTACATTTTATCCACATGGAACATCTTAGGAACTGTGTTTGCTATAAGAATTCCTAGGTTGCAGTATAAGGGTAAATGAAGGAGTAAAGTGGATTTAGGATGGCTGTCCCTGTGTCTTTCTCTTCATAACTTCTTTCTTCCTTATAAATATTTGTTTAAAAGTTGTTTGGTTACCATCAAAAGGGCTCCTTTATGAAGAATCTATGTAAACTACTGAAACATTTCTTAGGACCTTTTTGGTGAATTTGATCATAAAATTAAAACGTGTGTATGTGTTTTATAAAGGCATACCTCTGATAAGACTGATTTTATATTTGCCTTTTCTTCTCTACTTTGATCACCAGCCTAGCTGTTCTTTTTCTCTAAACCACCTTACTTTTCAGACTTGATTCTTGCTGTCACAGCTCTCTATAATGTCAGTTAAAATCAGCTGCCTCCACTCTTTGAGGATTTTTGTGCATAGGACGGCATGGTGAAACATAGGGAAATGATAGTCTTACTAATACAACAGGATCAATCTCTGGCCAAAAAAAAGGAAAAAGACAAACTTAGAAGGTCCTAATAATTACCAGTATAAAACAATGTTCACAAATATAATCTTGTCTCAGCAGAGTAGGAAGGCTATCTTCTGTTTTCTGCTGTGATGTGTCCTACAAGTGTGGTATTACCAGTACAGTTTATAGCACCAATAAATGTCTGTGATGGAGGACAGCAGACTATGAACTGAGCCTGGACTAGAAAGTTTCTGAGAAACAGCAACAGTCCTGTATGATCCCTTATATTTAAAACGTATACTTTCTTACTTACAATGGTTAAAGCAGCACATATTTTTAAAAAATAGCTAATAAAACACTTGAGAATGTTGCAGGTGTTGTGGTATATATGTTAATGAGAAGAAAAATATTGCTCTGCTGAAAACAGGGTCCTGAAGGCTGAGTTTGGCACTGTTTCATCACTGTGCAACTTTCTTCTTGATGGCAGCTAACTCTTTCTGAAGTTCAGTAAATTTGGGGCCGGTTTTCAAGTTTGTAATCCTAACACCTCAGCATTATTTTATTAAAATACTCTCTGGACGCTGCCAAGAGATTGACATCCAGTATCTTCTTTACACTTGCTCTTGAGCTTGCTGATTTGTCATTCCAGGCTATGGACAGACCCCCCCCTAAGCTGAAAGTCTCCCAGAGGAGGATGCCAAAGCTCCGTGCGTCACTCTCAGAACGATATCTCCCATAATTAAGAGCTTCTGGTGCTGTCCATTTAATGGGAATCTGCTTTAAGTCAGAAGATGAATACACACCACCATCCTCTTGACGAGACATTCCAAAGTCACTGATTTTCAGAACATTATTTTCACCTCCAGGCAGTTTCTTGCAGCAAGGTCCCTGTGTGTACAATTTCTACTCGAGATACATCATCCAGAAGCAGCATCTAATGAAAATTTCACTAACTGAATTTTAGTTCATTCTTCTTTCTCAGAAAGGAGAGGAAATCGCCTCCTGGAACCAGTTCCTTAAATTATGTAGATAGGCCGTCTTTGTGTGCGAACTCCTATACAGTTGACAATACTGGGATGATAATATTGCTTGAGGATTTTGGCTTCTAGTAAACATTTTAATTTCACTTCCTGGGAAAGATGTTCTTTACATGTTTTAACAGCAACAGCAGTTTTCCCTTTAATGTTCCCTTAAATGTGTCACCAAAATTTCCCTTGCCAAGTAATTCTTCTAATGTGACATCTTTATGATTGAGAACCCATTTCTTATTCTCCTAATTATGGCGATACTGTGATAATGATGCTCTTAATTGGAACATTGACTTTTTTTTTTTTTTTTTTTTTTGAATTTTAAAAAATATAATTTTATTTTTTTTTTTTTTAATTTTTCTTTTTTTTTTTTTTTTTAAAAAGATTTTTTTTTTTTTTTTTTTTTTTTGGCAATTTAAACAATAGAGATGAAATTCGTGTAACATCAAATTTGCCTTTTTTTGTTTTTTTGAAACAGAGTCTTGTTCTTGTCGCCAAGGCTGGAGTGCAGTGGCGTGATCTTGGCTCACTGCAGCCTCCGCCTCTTGGGTTCAAGCAATTCTCCTTTCTCAACCTCCTGAGTAGATGGGATTACAGGCTTGCACCACCACACCTGGCTAATTTTTGTATTTTTAGTAGAGATGGGGTTTCACCATGTTGGCCAGGATGGTCTCGATCTCCTGACCTCATAATCCACCTGCCTCAGCCTCCCAAAGTGCTGGGATTACAGGTGTGAGCCACTGCACCTGGCCTCAGATTTGTCATTTTAAAGTGTACTCTTCAGTGGTTTTTAGTATATCCACTATGTTGTGCAAGGATCACTGCTGTCTATTTCCAGAACGTTTCTATCACCCTAAAAAGAAACTCTCTGCCTATTAGCAGTCACTCCCAATTCTTCCTTTCCCCAGCCCCTGGAAATCAATAATGTGCTTCCTGTCCTTATGATTTTGCCTGTTTTGGACACTTCATTTAAATGGAATCTTGCAATAATCTGTAGCCTTTGTGTTTGGCTTTCACTTAGCATCATGTTCTCAAGGTTCATCCATGCCATAGCATCTATCAGTACTCCATTCCTTTTTATTGTGAAATGATGTTTCATTGTATGAGTGTGTATCACTTTTTATTTATCCATTCATCAATTAATGGACAGGAACAATGGCTTTTAAGTATTGTAAGTTCATCATGTATCCACAGTTACTGATAATGTCAAGATTATACATGGTGTGAACAGAATGCTGTGTAGAAATGATATGTAAATTATTTGTCAGCATTTCATGTAAGTGTGATGATTTTCTAAGGACCCTTCTAGCCCTGGTTTTAAGAAATATGTGAATGTAGTATTTTCATCAATAAAGTTTAATGCATTAAGCATTAGTTTAAAATTTGAAGGCAGATGTGAAGATATTTGCCACATGTTGTAATAATCATGTTTTGAAGTTATTTCACTATGAAGTATTTGAAAAATGTCAATACATAAAGGAAAGGAAATGATTATAATTGAGTCAATATATTTTTAAAGCAATTTTTATAATTTAGCAGACATTGCATCTTAATATAAGTTACTATTAAAATTGTGTCCTTGTGAAAAATGTGATGTCATTTTTCTTTTTTTGTTGATCATGTAAAATAGTTACTTTTCTTTGTTGTATTTTCTGTTTACTTTTGATAAGCTATTGCTTGCCTCTGTGGAATGTTTTACTTGTTGTTCCATTTTTTTTCTCCCTACCCCCACTTCTCTCTCCAACATGCACACAGTGTTCAATTTTTTTTTAAGTCATCATTAGTGTGCTTATCTTTAATGGTTTCTAAGAATGGACAATGAGAAACACAAATATTTTCTCCTTTACTGGGGACTCAAGTCTTTGTTACTGATGCAACCCATTAACTTTTCTTTCTTTATTAAATGTTCCTCCTCCCTCCCTCCTTTCATTGTCCTTCCCTCCTTCCTTCTCCCTTCCTTTTCTACTACCTCCTTTGACCAACCCTCTCTCCCCTACTCCCTCCTTTCCTTCCTTCCTTCTTCTCTATCAATATAATCACTTTGTTTCTTTCAGGTGAGATTGGAGTGTTCAGCTGTGACCAGAAATTTATTTTCCTGAGTAAATTGCCAAGAATTAAGAATGAAGAGGGCCATTTGCATCTCCTTAAATTATTCAGTTGTCTGCTTTATTGCTCCATGTGGAAAACTTAAAATTAAGTTGTGCATTTCTGTATTTTCACCTGTTGTTTAGTTTCTACATGTTTATTTTCAGTAATGGCTGAAAGTGTTAATTGTTCCATATTTTTAGCACAATGTGCTGCATACAGTTTCCAACAAACAAATAAGGTTACCTGTGTACAGAGTTCTACCTTAGGTGAACTAAATACTGCCTGGGTTCAGCTTTTATTTCCATTCTGAAATGCTTCCATTTTATTGTTTGAAACTGAAAATAAACAATTATTGAACCATTTTGACCTCATTTTAAAACTCAGTTTTAATTTATTATTTGGCTTATTCTTAATATTAGTCACTAAAAACAGTGGGAGCATTGTCTTATGAAATGCTTAGGAATCATTTTATATAGTACATGTACAACATTAAAACCTGTTTAAAAAAGAAAAAGGTACCAGCACTCACTTGTCCCTTGCCATTTTTTCTTGTAATTATGTTAGACAAATCTTGGGGCGGGGGGATCAAAAGATAATTGTTTTAATTCTACAGCTATAGGAGCTTTGTATTGCTGAACTTTGGTCTGGCAAAGTTTCACAGTGACATTTTTAAAAGAGAATTTTTTTATCTACTGAATTCTACCAGTGTAACCTTTTTTCTAAATAAACAATAGTTTTCTCAAATGATTGTATATTATTGTGTATATTGTTGCTTATTCAAAATAACTGATTTTGGCAAAGATAATTCATTAAGGTTTCTAGTCTTTCTCAGTTCCTAGTCCGCGGGCTACATTATTTTCTAATGACATATCATCCAATAACAGGAAAATATCCTATTTGATTACCTCTGTAGTTGGAGTAAACAGTGGACTGATACCATGCCTGGATTTGTCCATTTAGTCTTCAGTTACTTGGAAATGATACCTATGCAAATTAAAATTTTCAGAGAATGACAAAAAGTTTACAGTTTTTTAAAGAATTGAGAAATGTCGAATATATTTTAAATGAATTGGCAAAAGGGTGTAAATCTTGATGTCTCTTTTCAGGTAATTGTAATTTGCAAAAATCGGTGAGCAGAGTATTTGTGGGAGGGTGATCTATTCAGTGACGGTTGGGTGCTTATAATGTGCCTGGCATAAAAAGAGATGTTTGTTAGAGGGATTTTTGACTTTGAGAAAATAACTATGGCTTACCTCAAATAATTTGTCTCAAAGATACCAGGAAGAACTTTCCAGTTGTTAAATATGCATTCATATTTGAAAGATTACATGATTGATTTTGAACTAGAAACCTTACCACTAATAAGATAGCATCAATATGTCTTCTCCCTGTTGCCCCAAATCACTGAACACAGGTAATCAGTTCTGGCCTTGCTAGAAATGCATTGATTATGGAAAATATGATTTTTGGATTAACTGTGTAAAGATAATTTATGTTGCAAGTAGGAAATCTGTATTTGTATAGTGCTAGCTATTTTAGCTATCTACTGTGTTCTAGGTTCAAAGAAGTATAAGACCTGTCCCAAAAGTGCTTCCAGTCTAGTTTGGAAAATAAGGACCAAATGAATGGTCTGGGGGTCCAGCAAACTTTTTTTGTAAAGGGCCAGATAGTAAATATTTGTGGCCTTGCAAGCCATGTGGTTCCCATTGCAACTACTAAGCTCTGCCATTGTAGTCTGGATGCAGTTATAAATAATATGTAAGTGAATAAGCATGGCTGAGTTCATTAAAAGTTTATTTACAATAACAAGTGGAAGACTAGATTTGGCCTGCAGGCTATCGTTTGCCAACCCCTTCTATGAAGAGTAGAGAGTTCTATAGGGTATTCATTAAAAAATATTTGAGGGTGGGAGGGGTGAGGGATAAAAGACTACACATTGGGTACAGTGCACACTGCTTGGGTGATGGGTGCACCGAAATCTCAGAAATCATCACTAAATAAGTAACCAAACACCACCTGTTCCTCAGAAACCTACTGAAATATTTGAGTGCCTCTTACGCATTACAGGTACAGCCATGAGCAAAACAAACCCCTGCCCTCATGGAACTTCCATTCTAGTCAGTTGAGACAGACAACAAACACTGTTACTTGGAGGGAGGTCCTCCGAGGAAGAGTAAACCTGAATAAGGACACTGGGGTGAGGCCAAATTTACTACTGATTACACAGTGACTATGGAGTGAAGATGAGTGAAGCAGGACATTTTGAGGCAGTTATCACAGTACAGATATTTTATTACCAAATAATGTGTCTGTGATTCCCAACCCATCTTTACATGAAAGTAATATTCAGGATCTCTC